GTCCATTAAGCGTCTCTTGATAAGGTCATGATCTCAGGATCATGAGACTGAGCTCCACTGTGGGTGTGGAGCCTGCTTGAGATTCTCTCTCCCTCTCCTTCTGCCTCTCCCCGCCCCACTCCCATGTGCACTCTCTCTGAAACAAACACAATTCCTATTTAAATTGAATTTCAGATAAACAACAAAAATTTTTTTATATAAGTATGTCCTATATAACATATATCTCATACAGTATACAGGACATATTATACTAAAAATTATCATTCATTCTCTATCTGAAATTCCAATTTAACTGAGCATACTGTATTTTATCTGACAACCATCTTCCTGTAGTTTACTAAAAGTTGTATTTATTGACATGTAGAATTCAATTCAGGTTTCAATATGAAATCAGTGTTTTCTTCTCTTCCGTTTTCAAGTACTGAAATTTCTCGTCTAAGCTCTTTGCACTGGGCTTCTGTTTCTCTGCCCATCTCGCTTTTAGGTGCAGAATTAAAAATGTATTTTACTTTTATTTCTAACAAAGACAGATTTTAGAAACCTAGTTCCACCTTGAGCTTCATATTAAATGTATCTAAGTTTTCTCATTAGCTGCATCTAAATTTTCCCATTATTCTCTTATTTTTTTCCCTTTTAGGTCCCGATTTATGGTTTGTTAGCTTATAACTGTATCTTAAGGTCTTTCACTTTTGTTGTCCTAAGAGTAAGGATTAAATAAATATGTTTATATTTGTGTGCACACAAACATACACCAATAAATAATTAATATGGAAAACGTGGGTCATTATAAAGAAATTTTATTCCCACAAGGGAACATAATATACTGCTTTCTATAGAAGTAGGGGAAATAAAGGCCAGAAATAAACTAAAACATAAAGGTGACATTACTATTATTTTGAAGAAATACTCTTTTTGTATGAATTAGGTTCATAGCTCTGAAAGATTAAGAAAAAGTTATCTAGATCTTTGTTCTGCTTCCCTATGGAGATGGGTGGTGGGAAACCCAAAAGTCATACTCCGAACAAACCAAACCTAACTTGCTTCTGTGATCTATCCCCAACTAGAATGATTCCAGAAAAAGAAAAATTACAGAACTAGGGATTTAAAAGTTTTTCCTTTATTTTTGGTGTTTTTATTTAAATATTAATTGAAATAAACTTGGTTTCGAAGAGGGGCCATCCTACAAAAAAGCATATTGTACATTTGTAATATATGCTAGCTTGTTCCACACTATTATAGCATTTCTGTAGCTCTTCCAATGGAATTGAACAGAAAGTTGGACTTCAATCATGTAGAAAACTTGACCTTCTGGCTTAATCAAGCCAAATCAAGTATACCTGAGATAGATGTTTTCTATTTATCTTCATTTAAATGTTTATAGCATAATTGATAATTTGCCAAAGAAACACAAAGGGCCACATAAGTTATTTCTATTTGGGGAAATCTATTCTGATACTATTTCTTACTACCTGAAATTCCTTACTCCTAGCAACCAGCCTCTTTTTGACAATGTCTCAGAAAGGCTAACTATTGCCTCAGACTGAAGGCACTGAGGCACAGGCCAGCATTAGGAATATTCCAGAAACTGCCGTAATAGGAGCAGGAAGGAAGCCCTGGGTTGCGCCAATGGTCTGGGGTCAGACTAAATGAAACAGCCTTAAAAGAACGGGAAGCCGGGCACCTGGGTGGCTCAGTTGGTTGGGCGACTGCCTTCAGCTCAGGTCATGATCCCGGAGTCCCTGGATCGAGCCCCGCATCGGGCTCCCTGCTCAGCGAGGAGCCTGCTTCTCCCTCTAACCCTCCCCCCGTCATGTACTCTCTCTCTCTCTCTCTCTCATTCTCGCTCTCTCAAATAAATAAATAAATAAATCTTAAAAAAAAAAAAAAGAACGGGAAGCCAAAGTACCTCTGATGAAGGGTGGTGACATTAAACATCCCTCTCTCCTTGTCTGATCTTGACCAGTGGCCCTCTTATGCCATTTTAGTTCTGACACCATAACCACTGAGAGGTCAGATGATTACACATTTTCCGGAGGAGGAATAATCATCTCATAGCATAATGTCCCACGCGGAGGCGAGAGCTCCATAACAGAACGACCATTTTCTTTTTTTTTTTTCTTTTTTTTTTTAAGATTTTATTTATTTATTTGACAGAGAGAGGCACAGCGAGAGAGGGAACACAAGCAGGGGGAGTGGGAGAGGGAGAAGCAGGCTTCCCGCGGAGCAGGGAGCCCGATGCGGGGCTCGATCCCAGGACCCCGGGATCATGACCTGAGCCGAAGACAGACGCTTAACGACTGAGCCACCCAGGTGCCCCCAGAACGACCATTTTCAATATCTTTGTATCAAAGTCTAAGAAACTCCCAGCATCTTACAAATATAAAACAGCAAATACTCAAAATCTGTTCTGGCGCTCCAGGAAGAAGGTGATGATGCAAAGAAAGCAGAGGAAATAATTGAATGTTTTGACATTTTGAGAATGTACAAACGACATCTTTTGCAGAAGACCTGTTGCTGGCAATTGCATAAATCAACAAATAGATTTTATCCTTCACTGAAAATAATGGTTAATTGGCCAATGGGTTACATTTTTTTTTTTCTGTAGACTTAGCGGTCAATTTGCTTTTGTTGGCATTTTTACAGAGTAAGTCAAGGAGACAAATGTATTTATTTATCTGTAATTTTCACTCTCAGCTGCTTCCAAAAAAGATGTGATTAGATCCTTATAATTAAGTTACAATCGAACCACATGTCGAACAGAATTTTTTTCATTAGTTGGAAAGAGAGATAAGAACTTACAGGATGTGTAAGATGAGCTGATTCTTCTCATCTCCTTAGGTAGGATGGTTATTACATTTGAGCATTAGATTTAACTCTGGGGGGGCGCCTGGGTGGCTCAGTTGGTTAAGCGACTGCCTTCGGCTCAGGTCATGATCCTGGAGTCCCTGGATCGAGTCCCGCATCGCGCTCCCTGCTCGGCAGGGAGTCTGCTTCTCCCTCTGACCCTCCCCCCTCTCATGTACTCACTCTCTCTCATTCTCTCTCTCTCAAATAAATAAATAAAATCTTTAAAAAAAAAAAAAAAGATTTAACTCTGGGTTCCAAAGAAAACTGAGAAACCTGATAGGTTACATACCTTTCCCTCTTTTCATTAAATGAAGTATCAGGTCTTCACAACGTGCATTGAGGTACGGTTAGTATTTATGCCGTGCCTGCGTGGGATTGCTTAAACATCTAGAGAATTGGGTGTCCAGATTTCTGCAGGTATTTCCTATAAATGGGCTAGTTTTCAACTATTACCATTTTATAGGATCCCAGTTTTTAAGGTAATAAACACACAGTATGTGGTTTATTTTTAATATTTCACTTTTATTGGGCATTTTTCAGATACAAACTAACATTAACATGAGCAAAATTGTTCTGTTTTGGCTTACTAGGGCCAGTATATGTTGACCACCCTCCTCCCCACCATTATTTTTAAGCTTGTTTTTACTACTTTTTAAAAACCTGATACCGTATGATGATAATAATAAAAGGAAATAAGGAAAGGGAATCAATCTGTGTTTTGCTTTTCATTATCTAAATGGTCATTTGGATCACAACAGAGACAGTCCAATCTGCATACCATTTGTGATCATAAAAGTTGCTCAGTAAATCGGGGTTGGGGGAAAGCACGGCTTTGTTGATACATGAGTCATTCAATTAACGAACAGTTTGAGCTGCTTCTTCATGCCCAACATTGCTGGCACTAGCATAATAAATAGATACCTGCTCAGAGAAGGTCTCTGTGGGAGAACAGTCCCCAAAGAGTTATGCCTTTATACACTAGAATCTGATTCATAATACAGGTAAAGACATTATTTTTAAATTTAGGGCTAATGAGCTCTTCCATAAGCGGCCCAAGGTGATCTCTCAAAACAGTTTGCTTTTCACTTGACCCAGAAAACCCTACAAGATCATGCAAATCAAGAGGTTCAAATCTCCATGGTCACTTTAAGAACACACGTGAAACTGCCCAGGCCATCAAGGGTATGCAGATCCGAAAAGCTACCGGTGTCTAAAGGACATCCCTCTGCAGAAGCAGTATGTGACGTTTCGTGGCCACACTGGTGGAGGTGGTGGGTGTGCACGGGCCAAACAGTGGGGCCAGACACAGGGTCGATGAGCCAAAAAGAGAGCTGAATTTTTACTGCACATGCTTAATAATGCAGACAGTAATGCTGAACTGAAGGGTTTAGATGTAGATTCTCTGGTCATTGAGTACATCCAGGTGAACAAAGCCCCCAGACGCAGTGTGGAACTTACAGGGCTTATGGCCAGTGGCCAGATTAACCCAGACGTGAGCCCTCCTGCCACGTCGAGATGATCCTTATTGAAAAAGAGCAGACTGTTCCTAAACCGGAAGAGGAGGTTGCACAGAAGAAAAAGATACCCCAGAAGAAACTGAAGAAACAAAAACTATGGCCCGGGAGTAAATTCTGCATAGAGTAAATGCAAATAAAAGTAAAAACAGAAAAAAAAAAAAATGTAGGACTCATGAAGGCTTGTTGATTCCTTTTTAACCACATAAAGAAGGTACACAAAGCAGAATTATTTTTGTACTAAGCAAAAGTATTTATCTTGAAGAATTTAATTTCTGTCTATATTCTCTCTGTCCCTCTCTCCCTCCCCCCCCCCCCGCCACTTTTCCCCATTCTCCAGCTATGGCCGGGACACAGAAATCCCTAAGGGTGGCTCAATCTTAGATCTCGTAAAGCAGCTGACTATTTGCCATACAGTTTACCTTCTCTGTGCCTCAGACTCCTCAGCCGTCAAATAAGGAAGTGTTCTTAGAATAATTAACATAATTCCAATGAAATTATTTGGGCTCCTTGAATAAAACTATAGCATATTTTGTCAGGCAACTAATTAATATTAATGTAATCATCTGAATATCATGCCACCCATAAGTGGTGGCAGGTTATATTTTCGAAGTTCAAATATTATTTTCTTTATTACAGGTTTCTTTTCTCCATGGAAAACTCCAAAGCCTGTAAGTTGGAATTATTATGCTTCCTTCTTTATTTTTGGTTACTGTTGCAATCCCATTAAATAAGAGTTAATTGGGTGACCGCAAAATCTCTTTTACCTCTGAGATTCTGTGATGTCAAAAGGACAAATCCTGAGTCCCTTTGTCTTGTACTACAAAAATAACATGTCTTACTTTCCTGTAAAGGCAGTTCTTCCTGTTTTTTAATAAACTTAGAAAATGGGCATTAACACTATTCAATATGGTGTACTATAGAAACCTTTTGTTTTTCCCCTGTCAGGAATAACTATAGTCTTTTAATATGGAATTTTTAGACACAGTGCAAATGATAGGCCTAGAGGTCTTGAGCTACAAATTAAGTCTGGTGCATAAGAAATTTAACTTTGTATATATTTATATGTCTATATTTACATTTGAATATATATGGTAAATATGTGTGTGCAAATATTGCAGAGACATACATATTCCACCAAACCTGGCAATCACTCAACTTCTGCATCTCCTTCAGAAGCTGGTGATCTCCGTCCGCCATCACCTAATCTCTCTGGGCCTACTTCCCTCGTGAATCATCCTGAAATGTTGATGCCGATATAGGAGGCTGATGCATTTTAATACTCTTTTGTGTGGCTGGGTTAGCCAAGGCAGCTTCACAATTAGAAGTAGTTTTTCCTTGCCGTTAGATTGAAACTAGTAACTGGCCAAGTCCCCAGAACTGGCACTGGTTTTCTGGGATACCGTTTCATGGAGGGCTAGAATACCGTGCCCTACCTGGGATGTCTAAAACTCACAACTAAAAGAGAACTATAGCAAAGTGATGCAAGTCAAAAACAAAACTCGGGGAATCACTTCTCCCACTATCTTCTTTTCTTCCCTCTCAATTGAGCAACTCAGATGAAAGTGGCCCCAAGTCTGGCCAGTGAGTAGGGAGTTCTTGGCTTAACTTATGCAATTCTCCTATTTCTTTCACTGAAAAACTATTTAACTGCTTGATTTTCTCCTTTTACAAAGGGAGGTAATATAATTTTGCGTGCTTTTCAAGCACAATAACTGGCTTAATTAAATAATAAGCCTTGAAATGGTTTGAAGATGTGAAAGTGAAGTATTATTGAGCCCGGTCATATGCCCGAGCTCTGGGTTTCTCTCAAAGAGACATAAGGAAACCGGGAGCTGGAGATGAGGGACTGATCTCTCAGAGCTGCAGAACCTCCTCACCAGGCATGTCGTCCTTTGGGATTGGTCTCATCTGGTCCACAGAGAATATCAGATGGGGAAACTGGACCTATTTAGGTTTAGTAAAACATTTAGTGATGTGTGTGGTTTGAAAAGAGGTGGTTTTAAAATGTTTAAAATGAAATTTGTTTTATCTTGGCCAACATTTAAAGAGGTAAGTATTTAAATAATTTCTTCCTTTCATCACCAAAGTTAATCTGTGCTCTGTGGTTATACACATCTTTATCTAATTTAACAAGGAACCTTGTAACTTCATCATGGTGCTACAATTATGCTATTTAGTGATTTCCTTATGTGTACCACATTTACACAAATTATGCCATTTGGCATAATTACAGCATTTTCTGTCATTTTAGTAATTACATCCATAGTCAATAATTCCAAAAAAAGGTTTTATGGAACTTAATTTACAATTAATCCTGAACCTACACATCCCTACAAAAACTAAGGCTTGGACTTCCAGGTTCTAGACTGAGTGAGGATATAGGACTGTCGATTTAATGTCCTCCTGTATCCACCAGAAGCTCTTTAGACTAGAAACTGTAATGAGAAGCAGTATGATACATGTTCTGGGGCGCAGGCTCTGAAGGCATACTGCCTGGGTTCAAACTTTGCTTCTTCTCCTTAGTAGCTATATGACCTTCAACTAGCCACTTAAGTTGTCAGTATCTCCAGTTCTTACCTGTAAAATGGGAACAATAATAGTACCCCACTCATATAGTCATCATGAAGAGTCTCAGTCCATGTAAGTTGCTTAAAACAGTACCTCTAAAATATATTGAGCTCAAAAATATAAAGTACTGTCATCCTAGAGAGCAAACACTCCATACATGAAACCTTAATAAATTAATGACTCTATAAAATGAACATAGTTTGCTGAAGTATTCATCTGAGCAAATATATAAATATATACCCACAGTATATGGATTTATAGACTCTCTCCTCTCAGGATTGATGACATCTGTAGTCAGGATAAGGAAATGTTATCCTGAGTGAGATCTCTCCTCCTCCTGGTCCTGTGTCACTTCCTAACCCTCTTCTGTCTTACTGATCTACATCTTAAGCTAATCCATGTTGAGATAGTCATTTTGTAACAAGTAATGTACCCCTAATTGTAGTGAGTTCTCATGCTCTCCATCTGAAAGGAATCCAAGTTCATTCTTCAAGTACAGAATCAAATCAAATGCCTTCATATCCCAGCCCTGCCCTAAATTAGTGACGGGGTACATCTAGACTACCCCAGCTTCTATAGGAAGCAAACAGTTTCTCAACAGAGTACTTCGTGGGAGGTGGGGTGCTACCTCATTCACAAGCCCTCTACTCAACAGTGTGCTCCCACGATCAGAAGGTAGTTACATCATGATTCGGTTTTCCTGTTTTACCGTTTGGGGCCATGTTGTGGGCTACATGTCCACTCTGTCCACTGATAATTCAGTGACTGACTCTACCTTCATACAGTCAGGCATTCATTCATTCACCAAATCCAGCAGAGCTACAAGGTTTCTCCCAGATACTGAAAACAACCTCATTTCCATTTTTACTTACCCTAGTGAGATGCCTAGGTTTGAACACCACTGGGACTGTACAAGGCCCATTCAGAAGCCTATGAGAGGTAAATGTCTGGCAGAAGCACAACTCTAGACAAGCCAAGGTCAGGAAAACACTAGGTGAAACAAGTGAGGTCCAAGGGCCTGGGCAACGAGACAGGATCAGAATCTAGGGCGTTCAAGAAGGTTGAGAGGAACAAGTGAGCAGAGTGTCCCAGCTGGAAAGCAGAAGTCCAGAGACCACGTTGTCTAAGAAAGTAAGAAGTCAACAGAGTGCACCCTTCAAAAGATGCTGTCAGATCAGCACACCAGTCCCAGTGAGCAGAGGGGGACCTCTGACCCCAGGGCAGGCAGTTTGCGCCATGGTCTTTGGGGTTGAAGCCAACAAAGAACTCAATCTGGGGGTGGGGAGCTATAGGACTGCAAGTCTGCTTCTTCAGTTATTTCATGGGCGCAGTGATTTTCTGCTCTACAGTCTTTTAAGAAAGCCTGACAGAGTGACTCAAGGGTTGATGAATGTCACGGCAAGATGTTGTGAATGCTTTACTAAGCATAAACTGGACTACTGACTAATTCCCCTGTTTCTGTGCTATAGAAATTGTAGAACTTGTCACTCTGCCCCTGTAACCTTCCCAACAATGCCTAAAGCATTATTTGTTCTGTAGTTTTAAGAATGTTTTTTAGAAATACTAATATTTCACCTGAAGCATGTTTGCTCCAACGATTGCACATGAACAATACATACACCAGCAAGACCATGTGAGTATCAGCTCACCCTCAATAGAAAATGAGAGAAAGAAATAGACATTTGCTGAGGCCCTCTGATGAAGAGTGGGATTCTACAGCTACTCAGTCCACATATCTAACTTATTTACTGTGTAGAATTTAGTATCTTACATTTAGAAACGGAAGGGAGAAAGTCACAGCCACAGTGCATCCACATGGTGCCTAAAGCCAGTAACTTTGAAAAATTAAAAAAGAATACAACTTTAGCCACAAATGTGGGTCTTCTCATCATAGCAAAGACACAGAGAATAGATAACCAAAGAAACCCAGAATGGCTTCCTAGATGAATTTTGCTATCAAATGAATTATGAAGTGCAGATTTTTACTAAATGGGAGCAAAAGGCCCACTAAGCAGAACATTAGCGAAAATTCTAAGCAAATTTGCCAGTTATTCCCCTCAATGTATTATTGTAAAAAGCAGTCCCATTAGAGTTACAAATTGGGTTGACCCGGGGTCTGCTGCTGACAGCTGCTGGACCTCTTTGCGCTTTCGAGATTATGTTTAATATTAGGGAATTGAGCTCAACTAGGGATTTTCCATCCTCATTAGGTATAGAAACTTTGTTCATATGAAATCTTGGTCGGTAGCCCATTACAGAAAACAAATGAAAATGGAGCCAATTGTCTTAGTGCCTTCGGACTGCGGTACCATAGACTGGGTGGCTTCTAAACAAGAGCAATTTATTCCTCAGAGTTCTCGAGGCTGGAAGTCCAAGGTCAAGGCGCTGGCGGTTTCAGTGTCTGGTGAGAGTCCACTTCCTAGATGTCTATCTTTTCTTTGTAACGTCACCTGGCAGAAGGGTCTTCAGGACTCTGAGTCTCCTTTAATAAAGGCACTCATCCCATTCATGCGGCCTCCACCCTCGTGACCTAATCGCCCCCCCGCAAAGGTCCCACCTCCTAGTACCATCACCTTGGGCGTTAGAATTTTAACATATAAATTTGGGAGGGGACCCAAACATTCAGACCATAGTATCAATCTTACTGAGATACAGGTCAGTGACCCATTTCTTTCATAGTTTGCTGGCTCACTCGACACCTGCCACAGCCCCAGGTAGGTGAGCAAGTCACAGGGAACTTTGTTTTACGAAGTGACATGCACACTACATGTTATCTCACATTCCCTCAACTTTAAAATATTTATAACTGATACGCCAGAGCTGGTGTAGGAGACCTAACCGAGGTATAGCCAGCATGGAAACAAAAGCAGGGCAGGTCAGTAGGGGACAGAAAGTTATAATCCTGCCAAGCTCAAAACAGTGTGTATCAAAGCTAGTTTGTTTGTTTTTTAAAAAAGAACAGTTATGAGTCAGCTAGATTGGGGGAAAAAAAAGAAAAACAGCTGACCATTGATGATTTCATTCATTCACTAAATTAACATTTTCTGAGCTTACCATGTGTTGGTAATACAACAATGAGGAAGACTCTGTCCCCAGGATCTGTCCCCAACGCGCGCTATTTGAGGAGACATAGGTAGACTTGCCATTATCCTGAAGTCTCATGAGCGTTGGGTGTGAGGGGTGGGTAGAGGTGCTGTGGGAGCATCCATCACCAGTTCAGGAATGGTCAGCAAAGGCCTTCCAGAGGAGACATCTTCTCTGAGTCTAGTAGCCCCCAGGTAAAAGGAGGAAGGGAGGTGAAAAAGTGGAAAATGGATAAAGTTTGCAGGTAGGAGGAGAAATGAAGAAAGCACGCAAAGGTTCAGAGGTAGGAGAGAATCAACGGATCCTGGGGAATGAGAGGAGAGACCATTAGTGAGTATGAGGACAGTGAGCAAAACTGGGTCATGAGGAGCCACTAATGCTCCAGCGGGGAGTTTAGCCTTTAGCCTGAAGACCATGCTGACCCAAGGCAGAATTTTAGACAAAAGGATAACCTGATCTAAGTTCTACACAGAGCAGGTTTATTCAAAGCAGAAAAGTACAAGTTGAGTTTAAATCAGTTGACTATTGAATGAAGGTGAAGTTGGTGGTACGAACAGGTCATCCCAGCTAACCCGGCTTTCTACGCGACAAAAGGATATTAGTCCTCACCTTATCTACCTCACGGGGCCATGGTGCAGGTCAAAGAAGGTACAGTGTGTGAGAAAACATGGTAAACTGGGAAGTGTTCTAGAGATCTTTAATAAACTGTAGTGGTGGGGCGCCTGGGTGGCTCAGTTGGTTAAGCGACTGCCTTCGGCTCGGGTCATGATCCTGGAGTCCCGGGATCGAGTCCCACATCAGGCTCCCTGCTCAGCGGGGGGTCTGCTTCTCCCTCTGACCCGCTTCCCTCTCGTGCTCTCTGTCTCTCATTCTCTCTCTCAAATAAATAAATAAAATATTTTAAAAAATAATAATAATAATAATAAACTGTAGTGGTAGCAACCTCAGCAGTAGCATTTTGGGGAAGAAACTGCCAGATCGGCAGAAAATGAGGCTTCACAGAAGAATGAACAATTCATAAATCCCAGCTGGTTGCATGATTACTTCAAACTGTAAGGAAAGTGACCAAATGTTTAGGTATAGGAGATTATTAGGATATGTGTAGGTGTCAAAAGAATAGGTGGAGACCACTTTATTCTCTTCTGTTTTAGTAAAGATGGGGTAATGTATCAGGGCCAGTTCCACACATTTCTATACACTTACGTGTAAAGCTTTCTTGAGACCCATGTCATCTTTCTCGTGTAGGAGGAAAAAACGCTCAGAGAGATTAAGTGATTAGCTGGAGATTGCCAGCAATATGTGACAAGGTTATATATGTTTGCATTCAAAAGTCAGGCATCACTCATGTTGAGTACCATCTATGGTACTTTAATATAGAGATGCAGAATCTTTTCTCACACTTATTCCCAAGTTGTAAATGGTTCATGGAAGAAACGTCCACAGGGCAAGAAGGTCTAACTAAGGAAAGTCCACAGGGCAGGAGAGTCTAATTTAAAGGGGGAGGATTGTGGTATGTGACAAGGAAGAATTCAGCATCTTGTGTTCTCTTTCGCTTTCCAGATAATGGACCGCTGGGAGAATCAAGGCAGTCCTCAAACGAGTTTATCTGCTCCGGCCATACCACAGAACCTGCCCTTCCCACCCGCCCTTCACAGGACTTCCTTTCCTGACTCAGAGGCCTTTGACCCAAGGAAGCCTGACCCATATGAGCTCTACGAGAAATCTAGAGCGATTTATGAAAGTAGGCGTAAGTGAAAGCCACATAAAACACGGGTACATTGGTAATAGCTGAAGCCCTGCCAAGAGATATATTGAAGCTGAGATGATCTGGTGTGATTTTATATTCTGAGGTTCAAAACGTATCTCAAAAGTAGAGACAGCTGATCTAAACTTTTCTTTAAAAAAAAAAAAAAAGCCTGTCAATTCAAAAAAAAAAAAAAACCCACAAACCTTATATCTTTTGGTTTTATATTTTATTTCCTACTGTTTTCCCTCAAAGCCTCCGAGGAAAATCAGGAATGTATTTGGTGGGAAGGACGGGGGGTGGGGGGGTGGCAGAAGAGGTGGATAGTTTTGTTTAAGTCACCAAATAATAAGATAAATGTTTGGGATGTTTGTGTGCAATCTGATCTCGAGTCTGCAGCTTAGATTTTTTTCTTGAATGCAATCATTGAAGAATTTAGGGCCATGAGTAAACGTTAAGCGAGTCCTTCCAACTCACAATCATGAAAGTAATGGTTCTGAAACCAGCAGAGAGCCAGGTACCAATCATTTCTACCCAAAACTTCTGCTTCTCATTTAACACAGTGGGGCCCCTTTAATGCGGTGGGACCCATTCAGTAATAAAACAAAATAGCGCGTATGAACTTGTCATCCTATTTGAAGGTCCCCTAAAGTTATTTCATTGCACTTTATAAATATTAGAAAACAAAGGTTTTGAATATTGCATATATGTTCCTCATGCCTCTTTGCACCATCTGACAGGTCGTCTCTTCCAAATGTTAGAGGCCAGGAATCTGAATGGCATGAATGTATAATCTATGAGAGAAATGCACAGTATAATATGAACCTAAATAAACGGATCAAGAAACCTAGTCCAGTGAGAAGTGTTTGGTCCCCCGCACTCCCTTTTACAGTCTGCTGACTTCCTTTGTCTCTGTGTTCCTCCAATGTCTTCTCTCCATCTTTATCATCTGAAACATGAATAGCAAGTCTTAAACTGTGTGTGACCACAGAGGATCTGAAATCTGTTTATTCTTTATGAGCTCAGGGGCTGAGAATTATGCACCCAACTGGTAAGGGGAAGAGGAGACAAAATACTTTTTCCCCATCCTCTGTAACCCTCTGTAAAAGCAGTCTTCATTGATAAAATAGTTAGGACAGCAGGGCAGGCATTGAGAAATCATTTTCATCAAAATGAACCCCCCCCCCCAAATACACCTCTTTATTTTAAATAATCAGCTCTGACAGGGCTACTATACTTCATCATTTCCCTTCTGGATGAGCAACTGAAATGTCTTTAAAGGATTGTGAGGTTAGAATATCTTTGTGTTAGAGTAAGAACAAAGTAGTATGTTTAGCTGTATAATATAGGGTGTAAATTCAGGGTGCTGATTTTCAGTAAATAAAAAAAATGAAAGATTTGAACACAGTTCTTAATACCTTTTCTGTTTCAATATCCAAGTATCTATGGAATACCCACTTAACTCTCAGTACCGTGGAGAGATACCAAAGATGAGTAATACGTCTCATTCTCACAAATTTAACTGGGCAAATGAGAATAAGTATTAACAGGTGTAGATACCGAGTTACAGTAGAAGTTCTAACTTGGAGGATGGAAATGCATTGCAGGATGAAAATATCGTCATGTCCTTGGCTTGTTGAAACTTTTGATTACTTTTAGGGAGCTTCAGGAGATGCTTCCTCTTGTTTCTGTCCCTTCGTTGATCATTGGCTCCCACTCTTTTGTAGTTTCCTGACCAATGCGAGGCTTTATTATTCCGGACAAAGGCAATGTTGGCCTTTATTCCATCTTCCCTTCATCGTGTCTGATACGGTGCTGCCCTCAGTGTCTGAGCAGGAATTGCGCATGACCTTCTTTTCAACCCTAAAAGAATTCTGATTTCTTTATCCAGCCCCTGCAATGCTGTTTCTGTTCATTGCCTTTCCACCGCTCACCTGTAACAATCCAAGCAAACCAATCCACCTTAACCTCCCCTGCCTTTCTTTTTCAGTCCTCCCCTGGGAGCTCTTTATCCCCTCTGCTTCCGCAGCCACACCAACACCCAACCGCCTGACTCCCCCGCCCCGGCCCCCTCCGCCCCATCCGTGCTCCACAGATGCCACCGCTGCCTCTGCTCTAATGGGGTCCCCCCTTCGTGTTTTTGTCGGCTCTTTAATGTTTCTGAGGTCACAGCAGTGTTTTCAGGGTCACAAGTCTTAGGAAGCCAAAAGAGGGCAAGCTCATTTTCTTTCCCATCCTTTGCTTTTCTATCATGTTATTTCATAAAACTAAATGGATTGTGAAAGAAACAGGGAAATCATGTCAGGGGAGGCAAAGCTCTACCCTGAAGATTAAGGAAACCAAACAAGCACAGGGCTACTTTCTCAGGTCCCTGGATACCTGATCAGTTCATTCTGCTTGTGGACTTGCAAGTGTCTAAAAAAAACAAAGCAGCCCTTTGCCCTCTCTACATTCCCTGTTTCCAATTACGAAAAAGTTTCATTCTCTCACTTACATGTTGGGAATGCCAGAAAATCTTTTTTTTTTTTTTAATGAATTGGGGGAAAGCTCAGTGTATTTCCCATCATCTCCCAATAGCTTTTCTTTAACGATCATGAACTATGTGCATCCATACAAAGGAACCATATTCAAAATTTTGATGTGAACCATGCCTTATTCCTTTGAATCACATGCATAACATTTAGGTTTCACTCTGTTTATCCTTGTGTCCCCGAAAGCTTTTTCCTGGGAGAAAAATCCATGGGGACCAGGGAAAGTATGGAAGGGAATCCCAACCAGAGCTTGGCTAAACCAAGCTCTTTGACATTTTCCCTGGCCTATAGCAATTTCATGGTATCTTCCCTTCCAACCAGGTCTAAAGCTAAAGAGATATTTTGCATTCTCATTCAAAACTTGGTTGCAGTAACCAAAAAAGAAAGGATGTACCTCCACCCACATGCTTCTGCTGCACAGAGTTCCAGAATGTTTGTTATATCAAGGCTGTCAAGAAGTATTTGGATTCAAGTCACCAGTCCCCTGCAGATGATGGAAGTTTATCAAATGATATAAATGCTGCTGTGCCTCATTTGGCTCATAATTAGATTATACTGACATTTTAATGTGCATGCATGGGACATCTTAATAAAGATGTATTCCCCCAAAAAAAATGGAGTGATTTTAAACAAAGACAACCATAGGAGACTAGAGCCCGCATGAAACAGAACATGATGGGCGCATGCCTATGAGAGAAGAGCTGGAAATGCCTCCCATCTTCATGAGAGCTCAGGATGAGATGGAACTGAAGAAAGCGAGAACGAAGGTTCTTCCAGCAGGCAGGGCGGTGTTTCCAATTTCAGAGCGGCAGACAGAGTGTCTAGAAGGAGTGCCTCCGGGCTCCACATCGATCAACAAGAATGTCTGAAACATGCAACGCGTGTCTAGGGCTCTGCTGGGCACTCCACGAGGAAAAAAAAAAATCACGAGAAATAAATCCCACTTGCACAAAACTTCGACCGAAATGAAGGACACAAAAACCGAGGAAGACAATTCCCGAATGAGACTGCAGGACACAACCCAGCAGATCATATCAGCATTTCAACCGGCGAAATTGTGCAGTAACTGTAGACAACAGTTCCAGTGTAATTAGACAATTAGACCAATGGTTTCTTATTCCATGGGCAAAATTGATGTTTAATCAGGAGAATGTCATGTGTTCAGTATCTTCTAATTATCAAAAATCTCATTAGTCCTTACTGGAAAATGCTGTGCGGAAAGAAATTTGTTTTTTCTAACTTACTTCCACATAAGCTTAAAGTGTCTATATCTGAAAGAAACATGCCCCCCAAAATCCCAAAAAAGGTTTTGACCGATGGGCTTTTTTGGGTTTCCATGTTAATAATTTAAGCATTGGCCCTCTGGCATTACCAGCAATTCCCAGAAAAAGGCAAAAATCTTTGTGATAAAGATCACTTTTCTCATTGTGTAATAATAACCTCTGTTGATAACTGACTTCTTGCTTGTCCCCATTACTTGTGTTTTTTTAAGTTGAAAGCAAGGAAAATACGCACCTGTGCACAGTGGGATAAGCCAGGCTATTTTTTACTTCTCCCTTCTCTGTCCTTTTCTCCGGACTCTCAGGAAAGAAGGACTAATTTTCTTTCCAATCACAAGAGGAAGGGCTTACATTTTTTCATTTTGTAGGCTAATCTTGAAAAAGAAACTATTGTTTACCATTTCTAACCTTGAAAAAGAAACTGCTTCTAAAGGCCCTCGCTGCCTCTCTTCTCTCCCATCTTCTCCTGCCATTTTCCCGATACGTGATGGTGTCACGTATTTCTGATATGAGAAGAAAGAGTTTCGTAACAACCTACATCCCCATGGGGTGACGTAGGTGGACGACATTTACCAGTTTGCCTGGGACGGTCCTGCTCTGTGTCACCCTGGCATAATTACTAATAGCTTCCCTTTCACTCTCCAGTTTGTCCTCAGTTGAATGATGAATTATATGGTTTCCCTTTACTATATAATCTATTAAAGAAATAACATCATTGCTGTCCAAGAAAAGCATATATCTAAATGTACAGATCATGAATAAAAATTTTCATACCTACTCCGATAAATAATTTCCTTCAAGTTAATTTATTTGGCTGACTATTTTTCCCATACATGCTTTATTCCTAATTTGAGGTATAGACACATGTGGTGGCTTGTCTCGGTAGACAGACTCCCAGCAAACTCCCTCCATACTCAGAAAATTGTGCATATGTATAAATCTAGAGCATGGCAAACCAAGTCCAAAAAATAGGCAGCAAGGCTTCACTCATTTAAGGATTATGCCATGGAGTTTTCGTTCTTCTCACAGACAGTAAATCAGATTCCACATCGCAATAATCGCAGGCCCAAAAGGGAGGTAATTTTGTCTGTCTTCCTGCCTCTAGGAAGGATTATACTTACATAACTTCGGAACAATGGCTGTCGTGACTCCTCCTCTGGATGCCAAGCAAGGCAATAAAAGTTCTTCCCAAAGAAAATGGAATCACTTTAGAATCTTACAAAATAAAGTTCTGATCATGCTAAAGAACTTGGCGATCTAGGAATGAGGGCGCTGTCCTGTTGCTTCGCTTTGCTTTAAGCCAGACTTACTGTTAAGGTTTGTCTCATCATCCTCGGTTCATGGGGCCATTTCTTGAGCATACTCCTCACTGCAGCCTCAGAAGCCAGAGCAACAAACAGATGAAAACAGGAAGAGACAAGAGAAGAAAAATCCGTGTTCTCTGAAACCCTTCCCTCGTGATTCTGTCCCTTGGTGTGAACCCAAGTTGAATTATGATTGAAGTTGTCCACACTTTTTTTCTCTTCACATTGAACCTTGCTTATTATAAATAAGCAATTTATGAGGTACAACGTGTCTATGCTCCCTTGCAGTAAGACATCACTCAAATGTAGGATTATAAAAGTGTCAGGGATCCGTGTGGTGTAATGTGCCGTATGGTGGATGGAACCTCTTTAGAACACAAATTCCTCTGGAATTTCTTCAAAAAGCTCACGTGATCAATTTTCCTTTCCAGAAATTAAGAAGAAATAACCCATATTAAGCAATGAGTATTGCCACGAAGGTAGCAATCAGAAGTAACCCCAGGCCAGTTGAAGCATAATGGAGGAGCAAGGTGGTTTTTAGTACTATACTTGACAAGAAATTCTACTTCATAACTGTTCAAAAACAGAACCAAAAACATCTATGGCTTTTATCCTACGGTTTGTTGTCCATTGCTCATTGCAAAATTCTTTCGTTGTTAAGTATTACAATGCACTTATAACTTACGGCTAATCACAAATGGGTGGTTGTATTTCTAAAGTAGTAGTTTTTCTGCAGCTTTTTCCGTGTCATCGGTGAGCAAGGGCTGTAGTTGGCACTGTCCCTCATCCTAACACGAGAATCACTTGGAAAGACGGGGGTAGTGTAAAAATATGAGCCACCCAGCGCAGGACTTGAGACTCTAAATGGAAACTGATGGTGGGAGCCACATCACACAGGTGGATATGCAGCCTCCAGAGCTTGGAAGCCTGTTGCAAGTGCTTCTGCTTGAGCCTTTCAGGCTCCAGTCTCCCTTGTCAATGTGATTAAACATCTGATACAGTCAAGCTGGAAATGTCCGTAGGTTTAAGAAAGGTTCTGACGCATCATGGATGCCATAGCCATAGGCAGCTCTTAAGCGATCGTGGAAGGCCAGCTTGCCTTCCGAGAGAACCCGCGCATCTGAACGCTGCTAGACCAAGCCCTGGCCTCATTCGCTTGGACATTGCTGTTGCCCAATGGCTTTAGTGTTCTTAACAAACGTTCTCTGGTGCACTATCTTATTTTAGTGAAATATTAAAAGAAGATGATGCATAAATGTTAAGACACTTTTGTCAATGACTTTAGCATTAGAATCATAAAAGGCTAGAAAAAAATTTAATAACATTATCATTTAAAATGTCCTCGACGATGCTATGAAGGTTAATTTCCTGTACCTTTTTCCCATGGGAAAGCCATTATTGCTGGCCTTCACATAATTTATGTTATGGTTTAATCTGTGGGAAAAAATTGCCTTTCAGCTAGAGTTCTAGTATAGCACATTATGCGTCACTTTCCAGTTATAATATATTGATCAAGGAGATCAATCATTCCAGTGAAGCTGTGTTTGCCATTTTTAATATGTGCATTTTAATTGGGAAATCTAACTTCAAAAATAGTACTTTTGGGTAGCTTTGTAAACAATTATGGTAATATTTATATTTCTAACAGGTCCCTTTTAATAAAGAAAGTTACCATGACATGAGCTAAGAAATAAAGATAGTGAAATAAATAGGTTGGGGACACATTTTTCCCATGTATTTTAGAAATGAGATCCAATCTGATGGCTAATAAATTTATTTCATTCAATAGTTTAAAACTTAATGCTCCTAGAATCAGAGGATCGGGGGTGGGGGGTCAGGGGAGGTTGTGAGAAGTAAACTCTAAAATCAGTCCTTGACTGAAAGTTCTTTAGTATGTCAGAGCATTTTGTTGGTAGCACAAGTTGACAACGCAACCCAAAGTATTTTCATGAGTAAATATGAGACCATCAGGACTGCAGTAAACCGAATGTAAGTGCTGGATGGCAAGTAGGTCCTAGTGAGATTATGATAATATAAAATGTCAGTTTTACAACTAATAGAAGTGTTTAGAAGGTAGCAGCCTTCTATCCCTGATACAGCTCTATCTTTCTGATGAAAGGATATTTCTCCATTTATAATTCTATGCAGTCATACTATACATGGTGGATTTTTAGGAAATAACAGTTCTGGAGAACTAACTGGCCTTTACTGCAAAAACACAGATTACCTGGCAGGATGATCATTCTGCCCTCAAGGAGAGAGTGTGCAGGGTGCTGTGCAGGGTATGGTCGGAAACACCTGTCAAACCCAGAAGGCCAGTGACACTCTGCCTTGTTGTCACCCTCAAAAAGCTTCGATTTCATTTTTGTTGTTGAAGAGTGGAGAACTCTTTATATGAAACAAAGCTCAATAAGAAAGCAATCAGAATTTGGTCTTATTTTAACTTTTATTAATGTTAATAATAAAATACAGATTTTATAGTGCCTCATATATCTATTACAGTCTGTACACAGTATTTTATGCTCATGTCCACAAATTTTTATGTTATATGTAGCAGAAATTACATCAAAATCCTAATGAAGGATCTATATTGCTAACAGAAACCGATGTAACTCAACTACTTCTACATCACTTCAACTGTCGAAATAATTGGAAGTACCAAAGTATTTGGACTGATGGACATAAGTCAACACACTCATTGATTGAATTTTCCACTTTTCATCTCAGTACTTGATGACACGATATCTTAACCTGATTTTAAAAACCTCTATTTATTTTGTGCATAGCTCAGGTTCTGGATTGACTTTACTTCTCAATAAGCATTTTTATAATGAGAATCAAAGCTTAATTTTTGAAAAGGAGGATCTTTTTTTTCTCATTCTGATCTAAAAGAATTCAGATTTTTCTATTTTGCTGCATGTAAAAGAAATATATTTACAGACCTATTCATATACATAAAACAGGGTGTGTCCTGTCCACTAACGTCCATGGATTTTAGAGAAACAAAATCATTAAATTGGAGCACCAAAGGTTGGGGGTGAGTTATAAGAGCAACAACAAAAAAAGTTAAAGATGAATTTTAAAATGCCGTAAATGAATTTCAATTTTAATTCCCCATTTTCCCATCCAGAACAAGTGCCACCAAGGACCAGTTTTCGAATGGATTCCTCTGGCAAGTATACCCACAGTCCTGTGAATGAAACGTCTTCCATCATGTGTAACAAATCATTCTTCTGAGTAGTATCAGCTTATTAGTATATAATCACTGTGCTAATTTGATTCACCCACATACGCACGTATTTAAGGTAGAGAGCAAGTCCCATCAAAGTGGGTCTACTTGGCTGCCAAGGAAACAAACAAAAGAGAAGGGAAGAGAGTCATACTCATTAATTACTTTCATAAAATGCTTTAGTAAAAGACTAGACTAAAAAAACCAGGTGCCAATAAAAGCCACCAGACTGACTAGGTCCATGATGCCTGATAGAGTAGCTTCTGGCCACATTAAGCTAGTGGGCAATAGAAATGTGGCTACTCTGAACTTAGATATGCTTAAGATGTATGTAAAATCCATATTGGATTTCCAAGACTTCATACAAAAAAGAAATAGAAATGTATATTATCTCACTAATTTTTTTATATTGATTAATGCTTAAATAATATTTTGGATATACCAGCTTGAAATCCATTATTAAAGTTGATTGCACCTGTTTCTTTTTGCTTTTTAAAATGGGCTGCTGGAAAATTTTAAATTACTTATGTAGCTTCCATTTTATTTATACTGGACCATGCTAGACTAGATAACTAGAAATAAGCTAGAGTATCTCAAGAGATTTGCAATTTAGATGTTTCCAAAGAACTTACTGGAAATTTTGCTAATGTGGGATGAAATGATTTTTACATCAACTAAATATCTATGTCAGTTTAATTGTTTTAAACCATGCCACTTACAAAATGCAACATTTCAATGGTATTTTAAGTGAGAATAGAATATCATAGTTCAAAAGCTTTCAGTAAGAATCAATTAATATACTTAAAAGGAAAAACATTTTTTTTTTTACCTAACGGTTCTGAAAATACTTACCAATTTTGGTTTAGGCTGAAATATTTAATGTTATTACGGAAATGAAGGAGGAAAAGGAAAATTCAGATTTTTTTTTACTTTTAGAAAGTGCTTTAAACAGCTACTTAGACCACTGGACTGAAAGCCAGGACACTGAAACAATTGCAGAAAAGCATGTTTCATAATAATAGTACTATTTCAGATCTGCGGGCTCACAGCACACATCTCTAGAGTGTTTCCATGATGACAGCTCATTATCCATCTCAGCATGTTCTAACACCCCTTGGAGAATATATGTGCTTGAGATCATTTCATTCTGTAAGTTTCCATGTCATTTTTTTTTTGGATATGTAGAAAATATGGAAGATACTGCTTCGCATTTTGTCCTCAAGTAAAGTATAAAGTATTTGTTTAGCTTGGCCTGAAAATTTTTAAACTATGATTATTCTTATACACTGACTGTAAAATCCTTGTAATTTTAAAAGATTATCTTAAGCCCAGAAGGAAAGTGAGACCTAGTAATTACAGTTGCAAAATGAAAGTAAGATTTAATTTGAGATTCTAAATCTCTTATTTATTGGCCACAGCAAGCACATTTCTTGAAAATCTCAGCTTCTGAATAGACTTTATTTAAAAACAAAAAAAGCAAGAGAGGAACCACCTAATATATATATATATCTGCACAATACTTTCGCATTTCAAAAAATATGCATTAGTTAAAAGAGAAAAGTTATAATAATGGTTTGCTTATATTATACCACTATGTAATCCAGATCTTTAGGAAAAGAACCAATCCAAATATTTGATTAAATGTCCACACAAGTATCAAAGTATTCTGGAAGATCATGACTACCTCAAAAATAAATGGATCTCCCATACTTCTTCTCACATTTATAAAAGGTCCTTTATCAAATTATGTGTCATAATTTTTCACTCAGATACATTTATCATAATTATAAGGTATTTATTAGCTTTAGCTGCCTATGATGCTTAAGTACAGAGGCAAAACTGATAGTAGGAAGTCCTAAACAATGTAATTAAGAAAAGAAGTGATAACTCTACCATAGAATAATGCTGTGGTTTATCAGGTGTACTAGATTGGTGAGTATCTTAATTAAATTCAAGAAACATTTATTTAGCAACTCCTACAGGCTGTGCATAATGGAATACTACAGATGATAAGGATAATTATGCCATCATCGCGGAAGAATGATAGTGAGAAACAATACATCCGTAGCCGGGACCTTTGAATGGATAACTTCACCCCAAGCCAAGAGAGCCAGGGTGTGGATTATCACAGAAACCAAGAGTAGAAATCACTTCCAGGAGAACTTTCCTTGTTTAGAAACAAAAGACATCAGGGGGTCAGAAAGGGTGTGTCAACAATGTCAAGTGAGGCACAGAAATCAATCAGAATGTGGAAAGAGAAATGGCTGTTTGATGTGGTCATTAGGATGTCGTCAGTGACCTTAAAGGGAGTGCTTTCAGAAATGCTGCCACAGCAGAAGCCAGACTGGCAGGAGTAAGTCACAGATGAGAGACTGGGGATGGGGAAGTAAAGGTCCCACTAGAGACTACTCATCCAAGACAGAAATGGGGAGCACGAGGGGGTATTTGGTATGGGGAAATCTGAGTTGATTTGAAGGCTGAGGGAGAAAACCCCACAGAGTGGGAGTTGGCTTCTATATAGCTAAAATGTGTCTGGCCACATTCATATTACCAAAGGTATAAAGGAAAAAAGTAAAGAGAAGGCATTCTTTTAAAGCAAAAATGTATTAGCTACCTATCTGGTAATATTAGATTCAAGGGATAGAAACTATTTAATTCCTACTTAACTCATTCTGTATCTGGACTGCTTTGAAAGTTCAGAGACCAGGGACCTATTTAATAACCACCTTTGATTTCCTGATTCCTTCCTCAATCTCTTTCCTAGATCTCTTTACAAGGAAAAGCCAAATAACTAATGCTCTTTCCAGCAGGAAAAATTGAATGAATTCGTTCTCTGTGCCAAACTGATAATCAGCCCATGGTACTTACATTTTAATTAAAACATGAAAGGGGATTCAAGTACCGAAATTTAATTGACATGTTTGCAGCATCCCATGTGCCAAATTAATCCATAAATGCCGTTCTTTGCATTTGTGATGCTTGAATCCATTCATGAAATTAATCAGTTGTGTTCAGTTACCCACCCTTTTCCCTAAAACTGTGCACAAAGTCATGCCTTTCCAAATCTAGACCAAGGATACATACAGCATGTGAAGCTTCTGGAGTCTTAGTACAAAATAAGAAGCAGCTTTTGAAATTCTGCTTTTCTCTCTTATGAGGGAGGTTATCCTTATACCTGGATATGGCCACCATTAGCTACTTTTAGTACTACTAGTTTTTCAATATTAGTGGGAGCCCAGGATAAATCAGGACTTACGCATTCTGGTAGTTTGCCACAGTGCTCATGGAAAGTCCCCATCTGGGACAGATGTCTTTAGATGATTTATTTCATAATGCCTCAGGATCTTGGGACCCAACTTCTAAAGAAGAAACAACAGTAGCCAGGAATGGCCATTGAACACACAAATCCAGAGTGTTCTGCCTCTCCTTAGTCCAAGCAATGCCTGAGAGTATCCCTGACTGTTCTGCAAAAAAGGCTGAGGAAAAGGAAGGTAAACAAAGAGCGTGGAAAGAGAATAACCAAGAAAGCAGAAAACAAACAAAAAAAGGATGTTGGTGGGGGCCCGGTTGAGTGACATCAAAAGTGACTCAGGTCCCACTAGGTGTCCACCAGACTCCTTCATCAAACAGCCTTCCAGGTGCATGGTTAGCAAACCAACAGGGGAAAGAGGTGGTGATTGTTAAATTCTGTCACAGTGTGGTGAAGAATTGGCCCTTAGATTTCTTTGCCTTACGTTTGTGCATTAACAGGGGAAGAGACAAAGCGTGATGCGGTAATTTTCAGTGTGTCATCAGGCCAGGGCTCCTGGGTGGCTCAGCGGGTTAAGTGTCTGACTTCAGCTCAGATCAAGATCTCAGGGTCTTGGGATTGAGCCCCACAGGTCAGGCTCCCTGCTCAGTGGGGAATCTGCCTGTCGCTCTGCCCCTCCCCCTCCCCCTCCCCCCCCCCGCTTGTGCTCTCTCTCAAATAAATAAATAAAATCTCTAAAAATAATAAAAATAAATGTGTCATCAAGCCAGAAGAGCAGCTAAAGGAAAGTATCAGAAACATCATAAGCTTACAAGAGAGCTAACAAAGCAGGGGGGAAAAAAGAGTAATGTCTCTCAGCTTTGTGCATATAATTTTAGTTATTTTTTAAAACCCAGACTCAAAAGGATGGGGAGGGCAGAGGAAGAAACCAGAGAAAAATTATCCTTCTAAAAGCTCTTATTCCCACCCCACAAAAAAGTACTACTGCCTTAAGGCAAAATCTATCATTTAAACTTTTTTTTTCCAGTGACTGTGTCTCTAAAGTTTCCATGCCCTGAAGCCTCTGAGTCTGTGTTCAAAATTAACAAAGAAATTTTTTAAAATAATATGTGCTGGCATCCGTCTCCAATAGGTCTCTCTTTGCCTCTCTCGACTTGTTCACGTACCATGTAGCTAGTCATCTCTGCCTGGAAGAGTGGAGGGTGGAGATGACATGGTTGGCACATATCACCCTACATTCGAAATCAGAGTGGCCTGAGCCTCATCAGGAGATTGTAATGTCACCAGATTGCACACAAAGAATAAGAGGAGGAAGATAAATGTCCCACTCACAGCTGTTCTTCAAAGTCAAATAAAATTAACCAGCTAAAATGTATATTCTTTCTACTAAAAACAAGAGTCCTGAGTCATTCATTAAGGAAACACTTTCCAATTCCTCTGGGAATGACAGCATTCGCTGACACAAGACAACCCCCTTGTACTTTGGCACATCTCAAAATTCTGTTACTGGGATTCTCATAATTTCAGCATTCTCTTGGGGGAACGTTTTATTTAGCAAATAAAATGGATTGCAGAGTAAACTCCTTTTAGAGTTCCCCATGTAATATGGATTGCTGCTGAAGCCATTGGAAGAACAGTTTCCCACCTACCTTACTCACCAGTGATGCAAAAATGAGAATATTTATAGGAGTAGATGGGAAGTTCTGGTTATACATATGCTAGTGCTATCATTTTAAGTGTCAAAAATATATTATCTCTTTGTATTTTTTGTCTCTATGTGTTTTATATATGGCCTAGAGTCCTCTAAGCTTAAAGTAACCTAGAGAAGAGATTGCTGTGAGCAGTAGAATCATAAACAACTTCTAAAGATCTGTAAGTGGTTGGGCATTATCTGTCATCCTCCCATCTCCTCTTGCCTTTCCGCCTCCCCCGGAGGAGTACCTGTGCTTGCTGTGATATTATAGGGCTATTACATCTGCCTGGAGTCCCAAAGCCCCAGAGGAGCACACACTCCCAGTGTGTGATTTCATACATGATGTCGTAGACCCCAGGAATAAACTGAGTTCAAAAGCCAATTGTGACTCATAGAGTATAGGGCAAAGTTTTCATCTTCCTTTTACCACCCAACTGAGTTCTCAGTTCTCATCTTTCAAATATGAACGATAATACAATTTATAAAGGATGACTAACGCATGTGGAAATCCAGTTGGTTAGTCTTCTCTGAGTTTTATATTAGTCGTTGAATGGAAAGGTCTTTGGTTTTATGTGCATCTGCTCATGAAAGGACATGACTGGTTATGGATTCTCGCACAATATATACATATATGCAAATATACTTCTGTGCTTGACTCAGTTTTGTTTTGTCTTTTGAGAACAGCAACACATAATCAGCTTATGCCTACATTTCAGAAATGAATGAGTTGCCTTTTGTGCATCACTGGGAATGCACAGCCCATATTGGAGGGCACCATGGTAAACCCAGTGTCATTGTGCCTTGTTTACTGGATCACTTCAGCAGCCCCACTTACTGTAGAGCCTGAGAAAGACTTGCCTGGCCAACATTCACTGAGTCTCTCTCCAACTATGACTAGTACCATATATCCAAATGGCTCAGACACATCTTCCTGTCCCAAGAGAATCATTCTCTGAAATCCCATCCCAATTTCCAAAACCATCCTGTGTAAGCAATTTAATATTGCTTCTAAAAATTCTAATACCTCCTTTAAACCATGAAGGCCTAGGATCACTAAATTCTTCTTAAGCAAAGGATGGCATCAATAAGTATTTCCCAAATTTGCTAACATCCAATGGTATCCCAACAATGACCACGGAAGTATGCACAACTCAGTCAAGATGGAGACTTTACCCCCATGAGAAGGATTCAAAGGTCCAGGGGTAATGTGTAAGCATAAATCACATTCTCCTTCAAAAGTCAAAAGAGGTCTTACACTTTTCATGTATTTATCCTAGGATTGAAAACATTGACATCCAGGAGTCTTCCAGCTTATTTTTAACTACATTTCTGTTCTTTCAGCTAACTGCAGAGAAGTATCCCTCTTCTAGTTTATCTTGAATACACTAGTAAAATCAGTAGTGGCTTCGACATTGTAAAATATTTGGGGAGATAAGAGTTCACTTACACCAGGCGAATTTCTACCCCTGAGTTATTAAAAACCTAAAGGAGTTTGTCTGAAAATAAAAACTTCACTCAAACTCCCAGTACAGAAAAGTTTCAATTCTATTTTTTTCTAATTTTTACGATTCTAAAAAAGACAATTAGGCATAAATTTGTATCTCCCCCCACCCCTGCCTGACACACACGAAATGGGATGCATCGAGACATAAAGAGATATTTGTAAATTAGTAGGCAGTACTCTACCAGGTAGTTCCAGGATGTCATCTCTTCTCTCATACTTTTGAAACAATGGTTCTAGTCAGAGTAAACATCCTCAAAGTAACAGCCAATCTTCTTGAGAGCAATCTGAATGCTCTCGGGAAAATAAAGAAGCATAGAGGCATCGTTTTTTTGTTTTTTGTTATTTTTTTTTTTTGAGTCAGGAAATCTGTATGTTCTTTCTGCCTATGGTGATACCCTAGTAATGCACTTGTTTGATCACTGTTAATCCAGAGACTACCTAATTTTGGAACTTTTTTTTTTACCACATTTTTTTTATCCTCTCTGCTCTCCACCAACTCTAACAGCACTCTCATTAATCACATCCACAAAATTAATTTATCATTGATGTGTTCGGTTTCTCAGGGAGCGGGGAAGAGACAGGATTCATTACTCAATAGGATCTCCTTTATACCAGGTCCAGATTATAAGGAGCTGGATGTTCACCTTCGCAGGATGGAGTCTGGATTTGGCTTCAGAATCCTCGGGGGAGATGAGCCTGGGCAGCCTGTAAGTTGAGACCACTTTATTTCCACACTGTGGGCTATATACTGTGTGAGTGCATCAGGAGAAATATCATTCACTATGAATCTAAAAGAAAATCTTTGAAGGCTCAAAAAAAAAAAAAGTTTGAGGTTTGTGTTCTTGCTGTTTAAGTTCTCAAAACATGTCGGTGTTTCCATGCCAATATATCATCATAAATTAATGTACATACATTAAGAGGGGACACTACCCTTTCTCAGAATGGACTGAATCCCTCTTGAATAGTTCAATTACTTAATTGTATTGCACCCCTGGTCACTCTGGACAGTGATTCAAGGTAAACACATGGTATGACAGAAGATACACGTGAAGGGGTGATTTGGGCCAGCAGAATTACGTACGTTTGCAATCAAAAGTGCAAGGGAGAGAAAACACAGGGATAAACAGAAGTAAAATCAAGCTTAATGCTGCAGAATCTCAGCCAGATTCAAATTAAGGGATTACCATGAGAAGATGTTCACAAAGCGAACTTCAATTGGCACAATATTGAGAATTTGGGAAAGGCTCTGGAAAAATTAAAACTGCACGCGCGTGCACGCACACACCCCTCATTATACAGCAGAGTCAAAGCATAAAATAATATATAGAAAACTCAACAAAGCTAGATTTATGCACATGTATCAAAATACCAGCCATAAAATACTCATTGTAAAAGATGTGTCTTAAATGGTACCCAATATGACTAAGTCAGGTCCATGGAAGGTTTGAATAAATGACACCCATTCCAGCTCAGGTGCCTTAATTCCATTCCAGCTCATGCAAGAGATTTAAGCTGTAAGCCTGTTTCCTCGTCTGTAAGATGAAAAACACAATAGTCCTCTCTCACAGAGAGAGAGCTTTAAGAATTAAAGATAGCATAGGCAAACCTCTTGGTATTGTGCCTGGATCCTATCAGGTGTTGAGTGCATGTTTATCATCATCATCTGTCTTGTTGGTCAGTTTTTCCAGAAAATAAAACCAGAACCAAAAGTGGGCAGAAATCTTCAGGAGAAAAAAGTTAGTCTAACAAATGAAAGGAATCTGTAAAAATGAAAACTGTCCCAAAGTGAAGTCCATTGCCTTGGAAGACAGTGAGCTCCTTCCCCACAGAAGTATTCAAGCGGAGCTGACGAGAACCTGACAGGAACCCCAGAGAGGTTCCTCGGCCCTTCGAGCGGAGTTGGACCAGATGATTGATGAGATCCCTAACTAGGAAGAATGTTGAGAAGCTGAGCTTAGACTCCAAGGATGAGGGAACTCCAGGAAAAAAGACTTATTTTCTAATTTGGGGGGTAAAATTCAGCATCAGTCAACCACAATATCACTAATTCCCTAGCTGCCAGAGATGTGAAAGTGCATTTACCATGGAGGTTCTCTGAATTTCCCAACTAGTGCTTTGGGAGGAAAGAGAGTGCTAAGGTAAAATATAGGACACAAATAACTTGGGACTTATTTATCCAGAGACTAAATTAAGGATCTCATGTCACAAGCAGAAGGAACAAATCTCAGTTACATTTCGCTCCCTTTCACAGACGTGTCCCCCTCTATCTGCCACCTGATTCTGAGTTTACCAGGGATCCTCGGTAACCTGGTCAGGAGGCAGCCTCACTCCTCTCTGTAACTTGTCTAGAAAGAACCAGAAATAGTATCCAGTTCCTTCACGTATGTAAACATTTAACCTCCGGCTTCCACAGAGTATTTGTCTGACTTAGTTTCCTTCAGGATCATTCTCTAACCTGTTCATATGTCTCCCTATTTAGTTTGAGCAGTGGGATTTAAAATTCCCCCTAAGCAGGGACTTCATCCTTCCCTTTTTATTCTCCGTCGGTGTCCCCATAAATGAATAGTGTGCCATCAGCCAAACTGGAGGTTAAGGTCACAGTCCTCCAGACTGCCAAGTCTGCCCCCATTCCTGACAATGGCTACAATGATTTTGCAAAGTCTGAGGGAAGAATCTGCCTCACTTCAGACACTAGCTGCAAATTTGGGGGTCCCATGGCCTCCTTCAGATTTGATAATTCACTAGAACAACTCCTAGAACTCAGGAAAGTGCCGTACTTATGATTACAGTTTTACACTGAAAGGGTACAAATCAGAACCAACCAAAAAAAAGGTCCATAGGGCAAAGTTTGGAAGGGCTCTGCGTGCAAAGCTTCCATCGTCCTCAGGGACGAGTTATCCCTCCTAGCATCGATGCCAACCAGGGATGCTCACCCAAGTATTGGTGTCCAGAGTTTTTCTTGGGGTCTTGTTATGTGAGTACGAGTGATTGAGTCATTGAGGTGGTTGAGCTCAATCTCCAGCCCCTCTCCTTCCCAGAGGTCAAGTTGATGTCATAAGGTTCAAAGGCACAACCCTCTAATTATATGGCTGGTCTTTCTTGTCTGGTCGGCGCCCGCGCCCCACCCCCGCCCCCAAGACTGGGTGTGGCTGCTCCACCCTGAGTCATCTCCTTTAGCATAAACTACTGGTACCCACCATGAGTCTCTTCAGTAGCATAAACTCTCAGATGCAGTACAAGGGTCTCACAATGACCAAAGATACTCCTGTTCCAGTGGTGTAAAGGTTACATTTCAGGAAAAGCCAGACCTCTCTTTGGGCTCAGGCTAAATTCTTTATTGTACACCTATATGTTTAAAAGACACTAAGTGAAGGAAATAATGGCACTTTAAGGTGATTTTTATCACATTGTGGGGGATACTGAGACTTTTGTAGGGCATTTAAGGGTAAATTCATTAGAATCCATTATACTCGTACTAACATAATGCTTCAAACTTACCAACCTAAGGGATCTCCACCAGAAAGACGAGGTTCCTGTTTGTTCCAGAATGCACTGACTGACATACTTTTTCCCCCCTACCAATCCGTGAGCTCCTTGAAGGCAAGGACCATGTTTTGATGGTGTTTGTATCTTCCAAGCCCAGCACAGAGCCCGACATAATAGATATTTGCTAAATGGACCTGAAGAAAGAGTTCTCTTCACCAAGCCAAACTGTCACCTGAACCTCTCAGGAAGAAAAAAAAAAAAAGGAATAATCTGGTGTTTACATTTTCTGAGGCCCCTAGATGCTTTTACAGGCTCTGTAGAATTTAAATGGTGCCATCCTAGAATCAGGGATGGTGTCCTAGGAACCCTACAACATGCTTTGCTCAATCCAGTGTTTTAAAATTGTGCAATACCAACTAATTTCACATGTTTAAAATTCAAATTTCCTTATATATTCTCTTGAAAAATAGATCTAGCAACATTGGGCTTATTATCTTCCTCATTGACAATAACCAGCTGGAGCTAAGGGGTGGTCCCTTCTAAACTGAGCATGGCCACAGTTCCCAAGACCCCCTCATGCCTGTGTTATTCCTTTAGTCTACTGTCTTTGACACTCCCATCCAAGAGGACTGGACAAAAGATGAATATTTTGCACCAAAGGAATCTTCAACCAGGGCCAGATTATGCTTTTGCAAGCCCTAAGCATATCATCAGTTTCCTTCCCTTATATGATAAGGACAAACAAGAGATTCATTTATTTATGAAATAAATGTAAAAGAAATAAAGTTCCAATTCTTCCCATGGTGCTTACTTCAGTACGGTCTTTGAAATATGAAATTCTTATGTTGCTGGAACCCCTTTCCCCCATAGGCTCACGCTTTGTCGCTTTGGAGGTGAACTAGAACCACATTCAGGAAATACTGTCTTCACCAGTCTCTCCCTCCTCCCCCAAGGGTAGGAGGGACTGCATGACTGCTCACAGGGAAGGCGTGGTCTCAACTGGCTCAAGAAGGGAGGGGTCTGGCTGATAATTTGCCTGGCACTGAAGCAGTAAAATTGTTGCCCAAATAGAGCACATATTACTCAAAATGAAGCTCGGGTGTGTGAATGTGGCCTCTGGACAGTTTTGCGCCTGGTCAGTCCACACGCTCCCAGGTTCCCAACCCTTCTGAACATTGACTTTGACTCCAGAGTCCTTTCTCCCTTGCAGTGGGCAGGCATGCAGTATCTAGGATAAGCCTCCTCAGATTACGTGGATTGTTGGTTATCCCCATTGTGTTTATTTAGATTTATTCTGGTTTATTCTTTCATTTGAATGATTTAAGACACACGCAGGCTGCAAGTTACAATTTTGACCCTTAGGCCATTGAAGTAGAAGGCTGAATCTTCCTAAAGCAAGCAGAGGCAGAGAGTAATGCCTTGAAGACCAGAAGGTTGCCCCTCAGAAAGACCATGTCAGAAAGAGAATCTACTGTAAAGATTTCCCATAAGCCTTTCCTTCCTGCTTTCCTCCATTGTGTGAGCCCAGAGATAATATATAAACAAAATGTGCTGACCTCATTTAATTGCTGATGTGCTACAAAGGGAGAGGCGCATGAGGTGACTTGGTCCCCAACCACAGGAGGTCTCATAAATTACATCAAACAGGTTTCTGCCTCCATCTACACGAAATGGTACTGACATCTCAGGGTGCGCATTAAACACGACAACATAGCTTTCGGCGAATAATGAACAGCAGGACTCCAACTCCAACAAAGCATATGGGCATTTTTCCTGCAAGAGGAAATACTTTTCACAGTTAAATAACAATAGAAATAGAAAGAAATGAAAAATTGCCAGAAAGGAACAAAAATGGGATTTCCAGCTGTGAGCCAAAAAGAGATGGGAAGGCATCAAGGTGGAAAGATTTAGAAAACGCTGCAATGGAGAAAAGCTGTTCATAGAAAGAAGAGGTAATGATAGACAGACTCCTTGGTCAGGGAGTCTGTGCAAACTTGTGGAGAAGTTTCAGAAGGCAGGAGCCTGAAATGGGCTTGCCACATTGTCAAGTTGTCCCAGGATATAATTATTGCAGCTCAGACCTACCGGGGTTGGACTTGCATTAGGTAGAGCAGGAAAGGATTAAAAGAATTAAAAGGACTGCACATATGATTTTGGTTTTGTTTGTTTCTTACTTGTTTTCATTTTCCTTTTTTTGTGTTAACTTTTTCCCCTGGCTGACTAGGGTACCAGCCACTTGAATGCAAATTGCTATTATTTCATATCAAATACTCCGTTTTGTTCCATGCCCTCCCAGCCTGTAAGATAGAGTTGTGGAGTTGTGATTCTTTTGTTTTTTAGAGAAGGCCGTTGAAAAGCTAAGGCCATGGATCGGTTGTTCATGGGGTCAGGGGGCAGTCTTTTTAGAGCTATTTTGCCACAAAGTTCTTCCTTCAGGGCCAAAGCAGTAAGGACAAGATAAAGAACTCCTCCAAGAGCGATGAAAAAACTGATGAGTGGGTCTACACAGGCTGAAGGATCCAGTGAGGCTAGAAAAGAGGGGTGTGTGGAGTCAGGACAGGGCTCCCACCACCTCAGCCACGTGACTGACACCCACCCACCACCCCGCCTTGCTCCCTTTTTTCCGTGGTGCATGCTTGCTAGCATACAACAGAACTTACTACACTTACTATTGTCTGACCACTAGACTAGGAGTTCTATAAGGGCAGGGATCTGTATTTATTGTTCACAGATGAATTCCTAACACCCAAAAGTGCCTGTGGGTTCAATTAATACTTGCTAAATCAATAAATTAATTAGTACTCATATCCCAGCAATGCGGCAGAAAAGCAGATGTTTTACTGGGATTTTCCTTTTAACGGGTGATATAGTTTAGGTGATGCTAAAACTGGTATCACCTAGTGACGAAGATAACTTCAAGGGCATCTGTGTATCTTTGCTGTCTGCTTACAGCAAGGGAGGAGTGGGAATTTTCCAATGTGAAATTTGGGGCCGGGGGTGGGCGGTTGGTGGGGCGTTTTTTTCTTCCCCCTAGGTGAAATTTCGTTTTTACTATTTTTGTAGAGGGCCGAATTGGAGTCATGGCTTTCTCAGGTGTGACCTATATCTTGGTTCATTTTTCTCAGTGAGAGTCAAAACTATAGCTTCAAGTTGATAATTAACCAGCCAAGAAGCTCACGTGCCATTTTCTTCTCTGTAACTAGCTGTAAACTGTCTCACTAAAACACATAGGAAATCTAAAGTTCGAAGCATTTTGGGGGACTAACCCAGCTAAATACAGCTTTTCACGGGGCAGTGGAGAAACATAAACATTCATTTTAACTGGCTTTCGCGCAAAGCACTTAGCAAATCTTTGAAGGCTCCTTAGCGGGTTCAGTCTTTTGAAGAATAGACTGGAACATCTTTAGAAAGAAACTCATAAATTTAGGTTGGCATGACAGTAAGAGGAAGGGAGAATGTCAGAAGCAACCATGCCCAGCTGCTGGGCTGTAGGAAATGGGTGAGGAACGTTGCAGGGGAAGAACCTCACCGTACCCTGAGGTTTTCCTTGTGACGGCAATAATGAATCCCTCCTCAGAGCACCAATATTCAGTGTGGAAGCAAGTCTATCCCCAGCCCGCCCCCAGGAATAGGGAAGAAGTAGCTGTAGTCATAGAGAATTGTCATTCCTATGGATAAAGAAAGCTGTTCAGTGGACCAAGGCTAGGAAGTCTTCAGGAAAAGAGAACACTCTTCAGCCTCTGATTTTGCGTATACCCAAGACGTCCTGGGCATTCACGTCAGGTTGCCATGTTGACAGGCCACACCAAGCAGTGTGACCACGTAAGAATGAGTCTGTTGTCACGCCTGAGACACACAGCCTGCGGTCACGATGGGGCAGCTCTGCAAAAAAGCTGGGATCCACGGATCCAGGGTTTGAAAGAAATCATTGTGCCTGAAAGAAATCCCTCTGTGAGCAAGGGATCCTTTTATAAAGACTTAGAACTTAAGACGATAGCTTCTGTAATATGATCAGGCTAAGGGGTTACGACTGCCTACGGATGCTGTATGGCTAAGCCACTTGGCAAAAGAAATAGGATATCCATTGCCCATGTGTTGGGAAAATCGTAGGTTAAACGGTGAAACTAAAATATTTAGTGCTGTTGTTTTTTCTCCGAGAAGGAAAAAAAAAAAAAAGCCTCGTTATTGGACACTAACCTGAGTGTTTCTGGTGGGAAGTGGGAAATCTTATATGATGTCTTTCGTGACAGTCCCTGGCTCAGGGTAATTCCCATGCACACATTTTCCAGATATGTTCCCCTCACTTCTTGGTGTGAGGAAGCAGAAGCATTTCAGGGGACAGGCAAAACTGGGAATGTCCTTTACACAGGGGACAGTACTCCAAGGAAATATTCAAAGGAATAGAGCAAAAACCGGGAAGAGGTTTGACTGAAACTTTTTTTAAGTCACCTGGCCAGAGAAGCCAACTGTGAGTTTTACTTTGTTTTATTTTATTTTCCCCTTACCTCCAGCCTTGCAAAGCAAAAAAAAAAAAAAAAAAATTGAACCATTATCAGTTTCGTAATATGCAGCAGCTGGTTTCCCCTGACATTTTTTGAGCACTCAGTATGGCCATGAGCAAAGTTAAATGCTTTACATGCATTATTTCATTCAGTTCTCCCAACAAGTCCATAAAGCAGCTCCCACTACTTGATTTCCCCATTTTGCAGATGAAGAAACTGAGGCTCGCGGAGGTTAAGACTTGCCCAAGTCCACACAAACAAGAAGTGGAGCCAGGATTCAGTCCCCAATTCGTTACATGCACAGTGGCCAATAACATCAGAGTACTTGGGGTTAGAATTTTCCTTAAGGGTGATAACTGGTGCACCAGGAAGCAAGTGTCCCCCAGACCTCGTGGCCATCAGCAGCGAGTTCAAAACGTTTACTTCTCTGAAAGGAGTTAACAACCTGGAAGAGTGGGAAAGGCCCCTCATTTTTCATTTTTCAAGTACATGCTCAGCTTTGGAGTAAGGGGTAGAATGTGGGAATAAAACCTTCCACCAAGGTGTACATACATATAAAGAAATTATATGTATATATGATATTATTGTCTAGAATTATATTTATGTATAAGGAAGTTATATATAAATATTATTATCCATGATTATACTTACATAAAGAAATTATGTATGTGTGGGGGGAAAACAGTTGAAATGTAAATATCCTTTCCTTCTCACGCTTCCCTAGATTTTGATTGGCGCGGTCATTGCCATGGGTTCAGCCGACAGAGACGGCCGCCTGCACCCAGGAGACGAGCTTGTCTATGTCGACGGGATTCCAGTGGCTGGCAAGACCCACCGCTATGTCATCGACCTGATGCACCATGCAGCCCGAAATGGGCAGGTCAACCTCACTGTGAGAAGGAAGATGCTCTGTGGAGGTGTGTGGCTCAAGCCAGCAGGGAGGCTTGGGGGTCAGGTGGTGAAATGCTTTTGTGGGACATGGTAAGGACACTTGAAACAAAATTTTAAATCAGTTTCTATATTAAACAAGGACAAAAGTCAGCCTAGATCTTCCACATGTAACCGTGATTTTGAAAATGCAGATTTTCACCCCACTATAATTCCAAGCAGTCTCTCAGCCCTACATTTTCCGTGCAGTCATTAAAAATTTCTAGCAGAGCCTGGGGCTAATTTAAGTTGTGTATGCTCTTTGCTCTTTGGTGGATGCTGGTTATAAGAGGAACATTACGGAAGCGGAAAATATAGCTTTGGAAAATGTTCCTTATTGTGTTTACAAACCAAGAAGCACAGCATTTCGATACCATCATAAGGCAACTAAGATGGAAAATTAGCCTCCATTGTAGAGCCTGATAAAAGGTAACAATAAAACCATTACAAAAATACAGCTCTACGTCACTCTGAGAAAACACAATTCATTTAACTCCAAACTTATGAAACCCGTAAATTAGAAGTAATTATGCCCTTTACAGCTATTCCCTAACACCATAAAAGAATCCACCAAAGATTTCACTTTTAAAAGTCTGTCTTCACAGTCATAATATGATTCCACCATCTCATTCCCCCCCCAAAAAGGTTTGTATTTTTATGAATATGTCTGTTACAAAAATCGACTATTTTTCACAATCTAAGCCCTCAGTAACGTTGGCGGTAGGGTCCCAAACTGCCTGCACTTTGCCCTGCGAATTACAGGAGGAAAGCACCAATGATGTTCTGTCACCTGCCGCCCTCATGGCCCTTGGCCTCTCTGCTCAGTCCCCTGGCTCTCCTCAGACAGATCAGGAGGGACCTCGGCGTCAGGAGCTCCCTCGTGTTACAGATAAGGAAACCGAGGCCCAGAGGTTGGCTGGCTTGCCTGGGAGTCTGCAGTGACTCAGTGATAATGCAGAGGCTCTTGGCTTCAGCCAGTCCCACCTTTGGGCCCCCTCTCAGGGAATTCAAAGACGTGAGACCAACCATTAGCAAATGTCACTCCCTAACCTAAGTAGTCCTCCGAATGTGTTATTGTTATAAGGCATCTGAATCAAAAAACGGGGGCTGGGGAGGTGGCACTGCCTAATCACAGGCTGTGAATGACTAGGGAAGATAAGGCTTGTTAATTGAACTACAAACTGTTTTCTATTCAAGTCTTCTAGAAACTAGACTTTGATCAAGGGCAGTCATTTAAAAGGGCAAGTCAGAATTGTCAGCCCTCACCAATAGAGACGCTGTGTATCTTGTGCCATTTACCTTCAGAAATTCATGGCATACCAAAAAAGTAAAACACCTTGAATTATGCCTCATCCTTGGGCAAGCTGCCAGGAGGAAGACAGTGTTTGCTTGGTTAACATTTAACTGTCTCTCTCCCTAAGAGTGATTTTTAATAAAAAGTTTGCTGTGCTATATGTTCTGTAACCCAAAGATAAATTAAAAAGATACCTGATTTACAAGGAAATATACTGCAAGGTGCAAAACCAATGCACCAACATAATTTCATGCTCCCTTTGCCACCAGCTGATTATTGCAAATTAAATTTTGTTTTAATCAACCCAAGCTATTGGAGTGTATGCCAAATGCTGCAAAAACGTATTCTTGCAATTTGTGGATCATGTGACTTTCGTGAAGATGCTCTTTGCTGCATTTCTTACCAACTTTACTCATTTAGGCTTTCGAGTGCATTTCAAGTGCGTTTCATTTTTGAAAATGTTCAGCTGCAGACCGCTTGTTCACACTAGGAGAGTTTCCAAGTTAATTCAGCTCACTCTTCCTTGAAAGCTTCATCAGTATTGCAAATGATTAAGTTCAGGAAAGGATACTTTGATAGTAAAGTAAATGCCTAGAAATAGGATGGAACAGATTTTTTAAAGGCATAGGAAGGCAGCTTTTCTTCATAGCTGCTGTTTCTCCAACAGCGAGAAAGGACAGCCACAAATGGATGTGACAGTGAAGATGCCTTTTCAAGGGCTGTTATTATTATTATGCTTTCCCAAGCAAAGACAGTGGGACGTGTGAGCCTGGCTTACAATGAGATGGTTCAAAGCTGAAGGAAGCAAGCAATCAGCTTGTGAAGAGACAGAAGAGGGGTGAGAAGAGAGACAGAGTTGCCGCCTTCTCGAACAAAGGAGCGGTATCAGGAGCTGAAAAGAAGGGGGGTCATAGAGGTTAAAGCCTTCAGCCTCATGCTTGCCTCGGCTTGTACAAATGTCCTGTCCCTCCTCAGAAGGCACCAGGCACCGGCTTCCAAGTAACGCTCAAGAGAGAACCACTCAGGGGCACCTGGGTGGCTCAGTCGTTAAGCGTCTGCCTTCGGCTCAGGTCATGATCCCAGGGTCCTGGAATCGAGCCCTGTATCGGGCTCCCTGTTCAGTGGGAAGCCTGCTTCTCCCTCTCGCACTCCCCCTGCTTGTGTTCCCTCTCTTGCTGTGTCTCTGTCTGTGAAATAAATAAATAAAATTTAAAAAAAAAAAAAGAGAGAGAGAGAACCACTCAATCTATTAGGAGAGATACTGCCTGGCTAGTTACATTGGGCAAAAATTAAAGTAACACAAAAACCTTCTGCAAATATTAAAATATTTTAAAAGTGTACTCACTAAAGATAGAAAGGCAAAGTTTTCAATGAGGCAGTGACAAGGTAGATCCTCAAAAAGGAGAAACTGTGAAGTAAAGGAAGGAAACATCCAATAATGCATCCAATTTTATTTACCAGATAAGTACAGCACAGATCTTGCACTTTAAACTAGTTGTTAGGGACGCCTGGGTGGCTCAGTTAGTTAACCGGCTGCCTTCATGATCCCGGGGTCCTGGGATCGAGCCCCGTGTCAGGCTCCCTGCTCAGCAGGGAGTTGGCTTCTCCCTCTCCCCCTCCCTCTCTCCCCATTCTTGTTCTCTCTCTCTCACACTCACTCTCTCGCTCCCAAATAATCTTTTAAAATTTTTTAAAAATGTTAAAAATCAACTAGTTTTGAGAAATGTCTTATCCATACCACCAGCTCCAGTGTTTAGCCATTCTCCCCCCAAGGATGGTAGAAGAGTGGCTTTAATTATAACACTGAAGTATAAATATTTCTATGTTTAGTAGCTCAGCTTTGAGACGTTCAACCTAATGACACATTATTTTGAATACACACTATTCGTCTGAGAGAAGGGTGTCTCTGAGGAATTTCCTAATGTGTCAATCTAGAATTGATGTGAAAGAACATTTTATGACTTAATCAAAACACGTTAGAGTCCCTCCTAAAGCTATCCATCAGTACTTTTCTCTCACATCTAAGGGAAAGCCTGACTCTCGGCTTAGTGCCAAGAAAGAGAAAGTTTTCTTGTCAGCTGGCTGAAAAGTTTAGCCGTTGTTTAGGGTGCCAGTGGATTCCCTGGTCCTGGTTACTCCACTTTTTGTCAATTCTAAACACGTTCCCTCTTCTTTGTCTGTGAGCATGTCACCCATTTAAATAAGTTGTCTGCTTTGAGGAGTCTAGACCAGGAGTGCACATACTCAAATGCCTTGCAGGCAGGCCAGCCTCTGGCTTTGGCGGGGCGCAGCATGTGGGCTGCCCCCTGCTCCATCAGGCCCCGTGAGGATGTACATTGCATGTGGACACTCCAGCTGGGGCCAGCATGCCCCATGGCCTCAGCCACGCTTCGAGACAAGACATCTCCAGCGCTGTCATGCTTCTAGGGTACAGCCCTGAGAAGGGGCCCAGGAACACCCTGGAAGCAGGCAGGCTGTGTTTGCTACAGTAGAACCCTGGAGTCCTGGTAGCCAGCATGTGATCTGGAAGGGAAGCAAGGGCTCTGGTTGAACAAGTCCCTTTGGCCCTGCCCTCCTCCTCACTCTACTGGTAAATGAGTAAGTCAGGAATGTGTAGGCGACACTGGGGGTGGTTGGCACCGTGGTGGCTTGCAAACTCAAACTCGGTAAAGGGAGCAGCCACTGCCCAGCTCTGGCTGAGAACTGCGAGGTATTTCAAGAGAAACTGGAAATCCATATTTCTGTAAAATCTCCCTTTTTAAAAACATTGGCAATCAGTTTTAACAATTATTAGACAAAGTATAGCCCAGCACTGGACACAAATCACAGATGGGTCTGCGGGCCAGGAGCAGCCCCCGGCCAGGGGCGGACTATTCTCATGGAAACCATCGCACCTGGATGGCATCGCCAACAACGCTTGTCTTCCCAAACAGAGACCTCTGCCGGTCAGCTCAGGGATGACTTCCAGTCTGACTGGTGAGGACAAAACAGAAGCTCAAACTAAAACTGAATTATTTGGCTTAAGTAGATACTAATGGCCCGAATTCTATACATCCATTTGTGTGAGAGACAGAAGGATGGGTCAGGGATGCTGGAAGGTAGTGAATTAAAAAAAAAAAAATGCACGTGGTATTTAGTCACTTTGTGACGTTCACTGTATTCTTCTAAAACAACGCTGTTTGTACACTACCCCAGAAAGGGTCGTTGGCAAGAGGACAGTCACATTTGGATCTAGAGCCCGCTGAGTAGAAAAATAACTGTGGAATCAATTCTATCCCTCAAAACGGCCCATTGGACATCTTCTTAACTCCCTGGTTTCAAATGTGCTCGTATTGTTAAAGATGAAGAACTTTGTTCTAGAGGTTGAAAGACGAGTCCAAAAGCAATAGAACGGTATTCTGTTAATGTTTGGGACTCTTCCCCTTCCTCAGGGACCATTCACGTTGATTAGTCGACGGCGTTCTTTCTCCCTCTAGAACCCGCAGCAGAGCCACTCCCAGCCACTCGCTGCAGAGACGGATCATTTTCCTTTGTTGCTGCTTGGTGACTGGCACAATGCTCAACCCCTGAAATATGACAGCCAGAGAAGGAGATCTCTCTTGTCACTGCCTATGACACCTAGTTACCGATTTGGTCCCATACCTCAGGGAGATTTTCAATTTAATGTTGCAGCCTAATAATTGTTTGTTTTTCTTCCTCCCGACCATCTCTAATCACTTTATTTCCAACTTGCACAAGGACTGATAAAGGACACGTGCTTCACCAAGACAATAACAGCTTGTCTTTGGATGATGTTTTCTCGTGGGGAGGGTACATTTTACAGGCAGTTCTAAATTCTGGTAGGAAAGAGGGAAAGGCTTTGACATTGGCATTTTGTTCTTTTCTCACCTCAGTACAATTCTTACAGATGAAAAGCATCCATTTGTTTTCTTTAATTAAAACCTGATTAATTGGGCGCCTGGGTGGCTCAGTTGGTTAAGCGACTGCCTTCGGCTCAGGTCATGATCCTGGAGTCCCGGGATCGAGTCCCACATCGGGCTCCCTGCTCAGCGGGGGGTCTGCTTCCCCCTCTGCCCCCTTCCCTCTCGTCCTCTCTGTCTCTCATTCTCTCTCTCTCAAATAAATAAATAAAATCTTTAAAAAAAAAAAAACCTGATTAATTAAATCTTACAGAAAAAATTCAGATTTATCAAATGATAATAAGCAGCAGCCTGGGTCTTATTCTGCTATTACAAACAAGAAATGAATACATTTTTGTAAGATGATTTTTTAATCTGAGTATATGAATAAATGCAGCTCCTTTTTCTTTACATATCAGTAGAACAACAACAACAAAAATCTCTTCTAGTCTGTGTTCTTTCTCCCCAATTTTTGAATCGATTTTTGATTTTTGAAATTTGATTTTTCATTTCAGAATGGAATTGCAGCTTATCAAGTTAAGAGCCTTCACTGGAACTTTTGCTAATTATTTTTAACTTGCCTTATGAGACCCCTACCAGAGCTCTAAATAGAAGACCATATCTAGAGACCCAAAAAGGAATCATTAATTGTGGTTACTTTCCTTCTTACTATTTCTCTGTTCCATAAACATCTTTTGAGTACACTAATCAAATTGTAAGATGAGATGAAACAGTCCTATTTCTAATTACAGGATTCTGGGTGCCCGCTTCAGTTCTTTCAATCAGAATACCAAAACCTAGCTATTAAATTAAAATGACAAAATTCTTTCTCAACGACAGATGAACTTTCATTTTTAAAAAGCAGCTTCTCTTGGCTGCCAGCTTTCTATCATTTCTCCCTGTAAATAAGCTTGTTTTCTCATGGAAGTATTGGTTTGGTTTATCTGGCTGATAATGTTTTGTAATAATGTAGAATATAAATGAGCAATGCCACCCATACCTCTCTCAGAAATTCAAAATGCATCGTCCCTTGGCCTGACATCATTGTTAGATTTAATCCTAGAGTGAGTGAATAGAGGAAGGATCCTTTAAGAAAGATGTTTTCCACCTACACAGAGTGAATTATCACTTCTAGGCTAAAAGAATATTGCAAAATTAAATAAGACTGTGATTCTTTAGTAAAATTATGGTAAGTCTCTTTATATGGACATCCTGGGCTGTTACCCCTCCAGCAGCATTGCTCAATGGTGCCCTAGAAAGAAACCTCACTGGGCTTCTCTCTCCTGTGCCCAGTCTTCCTAAACCTACTGAATACACTTTCCACACATGGACCCTGAAGATGCACAGTTTTTACAAGTTCTTTAAGTAATTCTTGTGCACAATGCAGTTTAAGATACTGTCCACCTGTTTTGTAATCTTTGATCAGTTATTATTATGCAGCTAAGAAGCTCAATATCTAGGGGCTCCTGGGTGCCTCAGTCGGTTCAGCGTTTGACTCTTGGTTTTGGTTCAGGTGGTGATTTCAGGGTTAGGTCGTGAGATTGAGCCCCGTGTGGGGCTCCCTGCTCAGTGGGGAGTCTGCTTCCCCTCTCCCTCTCCCTCTGCCCCTCCCCCACCTCTCTCTCTCTCAAATGAATAAATATATCTGGAAAAAAAAAAAAGCTCATTATCTAAAACCAGGCATTGTCCTGGGCAGGGGGTAGGGGTGGGGGTTGCAGATTTAACAAGAGGAAGCTACAAACTAGTAGCAGCACAGAGGAAGCTGATGAGGGGTTAGCTGTGTTTGCTGTGAAGAATGGAATGGGGCTTGGACCTGGGTGCTCCGTAGCTGGGTTTGTAGCCTTCCAAATGCTCTGCGCTCGTGGGGACTAGAAGCCAGTCAGCCAGTCTTAGAATGATGCCAATGTCTAGAACTGCACCTAGTACACAGAGGCACTCATCAAGACCCTTGTTAAATAACCGAGTGCCCGGGTACGCTGTGTATTGCAGGGGAGCCCTGCCCAGAGAACGGGAGGAGTCCAGGCTCTGTGTCAACCCACCACAGCTCCCCACGCAGTGACTACGCCACCTACACCAACAGCAACCACGCTGCCCCCAGTAGCAATGCCTCTCCACCTGAAGGCTTCGCCTCCCACAGCCTGCAGACCAGTGATGTGGTCATTCACCGCAAAGAGAACGAAGGCTTCGGCTTTGTCATCATCAGCTCCCTGAACAGACCTGAGTCTGGATCCACTATCAGTAAGTGATGGCTGTGCTTGCCTTTCAGTAAGAGGTCTTGTGCTCATTTTGTCCTGGTGGTGGGGAGACTGGACATGCAAATTGGAGGACTGTTATAGGCATCTTAGGGAGCCAGAAGCTTCTGGGCTGTGGGCACAAATAAGACATCCTTAACACAGGATTAGCCAAACGTTGCTGAACCTTTGGCTCAAGAAGAATGCAAGATCACATCTAAAATCCCCCTGACCCCACAGCCCCCATAAAACTCTTTGTTCCTATTTCAGTGGGAAGGAACTACAACTGAGTAGTGTGAGAGTGTTGGTGTGAGGGGAGAGGAGCCCCTTCCTGCTTGATAGGATGAAACCAGATATGCAAAGGATCTGGGGGGAAAGCAGTCCAGGAAGGACCTCAGCATTCAAGAACTCTACAGAAGACCAGTGTGGCTATGATAGAATGGACATGAGAGAGCAGCCTGAGACTAAGACAGAGGACTAGGCAGGAGCCAGGCTGCACAGGGCTTCACACGCCCATGGGAAGAAGTCTGGACTATAGTCTAAGTCCATGGGAACCACGGAGGGGGTTAGGCAATGGACAGAAATCTGACTTATATTTTTTAAGTCTGCTCTTGTACAAAATGAAATCAGGGGGAAGAGAGCAAGAGTGGAAGCATGAGACAGAATCAGGAGCTCATGAAACCAGCCCTGTGGGTGCAGAGATCCTGGAACCTTCTCCCAGGGTAATAGCAGTGGATGGGGGGACGTACAGGACTTCACCTAGGGCTCCTCCAAATTTGGGAGTCTGTACAACAGGTAACAGTCAGAGGTTGTAGTTCTCTTGCAATCGGTCATCTTATAGACCCTCAGTCTTCCTTGGTGGTTTTCCTTTCAGCAACACTATTGCAGAAGTTACTTGGCTGCCAGCAGATGGTAGGACAGAAAAGGCAATAGGAAAACTTGCTCGTTTTTCATGTTGAAGTGATTTAGCCCAAAATATTATGGATAGAAACACCAAAATAGAGAGCATCGAGACCAAAAAATAATTGAGTCATGTTGTGGTCCTAAAATTCTTATAAACTGTGGTTGTTTCCAGCATGTGGGGTAAGGGGGGGGGGGCTTGTCAAACAATACTCAAGAAGCCAAATCATTGAGAATGAATAAAAATTTTTTACGATACAGTTAATGTTCTCAAAACACCGCCAGGATTGAATGGAAAGAATGACCCTGTTTCGCTTTACCTTTGACAAACTTGAGTGAAAACTATAGAAGTGTTGAACCTCAGTGAGTATGTGCAGAAATGAAAGTACATACATCTGAAAGTACAATTTCATTTCTCTTCTCCTGCATGATAAGATGAAGAAATAAATCCAATCTTCAAGCACAGAGTAAAAGCAGGATTCTGTCAGTACGATAGATTCAACAAGATTAAAAGGACGTAAGACTAAAGATTTTCATAAATTATATAAAGAGCCTTCCAATAATTTATACTTAGGGAAAATATTCACAGAGAGCTTTTGTAGCTGTTCCACTCAAGCAAATTGTTTACTGGGGCAGGATACCTAAAGGACCGGAATAAAAATAAAAAGTAGACCACCACAAGGAAAGTGTTCGACATGTATTTAAGGCCTCAGATGTCTTTGAAGTGTGATGGCATTATTGCTAAATGCACAGAGAATTGTGTGTGTGTGCGCGTGTGCACGTGCCTGCACACACATGCACTTATCACACAGAGAAGCCGCAGATGCTTTTTCTATTGCAAATAAAACCCATGCACAGGTAGAGCTGGAAAACAACAGGTGCAAATGCTTGCAATTCATGTGAGTTTTTCTTCCTACCAAGTGACATTAGACTGACCTCAAAAGAATAATTCTAGCCATTTTCCAAATGGTATTATTTTACATCACCCTGGAGAGTGGAAATACATTCATGATGTTTCCTGGCTTCTTTTTTCACGTATTTATTTCTTTTCAATTTAAGGATTCAAAACGCAGGTTGCCCCCATGTTCTGTGGGAAGAGCAGTTATTACAATGATGGCCTGTAGCGTTTACAATATATAATTTGCAGCACGTACCTAAAAGCTTTCTGGGCCTGATGCTGTTGCACACTTAAGTTCTGTTATGATTTTGAGCTCTAAATTTTGAAGAGAAAGGCTAAGTACCTCAGGAATGGTAAAGAGCCATCCTCATGTCACATATCCATCGTCAGAATATCAAGGGTCCTTGATTCTCTGAGACCGGAGAGCGTGATACCATCAGGTCCTCGGGAGTCACAGTCATTCCTGGGTCTTGGGTCATTTTTCTCCTCCTGTCTTACCTGAGCCCAAGGACCACAAACATGGTGGTTTTTCTCATGGCTACTGAGCCTTTCGTTGGCGGACAGAGCACTGTTACGCCTTTGAGAGGCGAACTGGCTAAAATCATACTGCCTGGCTTCATCATCTCCTACCTGTGTGACCTCGAGGAAGTTACATGACTCTTTGGGCCTCAGTTTCCTTGGCTGTAAAGACAAGATGATATTACTGTCTACGTCGAGGGGTTGCTCGGAGGGTTAAATGAATGAGTACGTGGAAGTGCTCGGAACAGCTCTGACTCAGAGAGGCACTCAGTATGTCACCGTTGCTGTCCAGACCAGCGTTATCTTTCCATTCCATCAGCTGCCGCTTCTCGGATAGAGCAGAGCTCACACTGGCTGTCTCCTCTGTCAGGCATGAGTCAGAGCCCCCACTCTCCCAGAGCAGCACATGAAGGGCCATCTCCCCATCCCACGTGCTGACCTTCTGGCAGCAGAGTCTGCCCCGCCCGCCGCCCCCCTGCAGCCTGGGTCGGGGGTGAGGGGCTAGAGCCGTGGCAGACACACCAGTCCATCTAAGTGTGCGTGTCTTTGCTGAGGCTTCAGGCTAGACGTCTCCCCAGAATTCACTAGCCAATAAACTAGAAAAATCACCGGAAACATCCAAATTCAGGCCCGAAGCTGTGCCTTTTAGAATCTCCTACAAATAATATGTCTCCATGGACTGTATCAGAGAAGACAGGAGAGATGGAGAACCCAAGTGTAAATTTCACCACCCTGAAGGTGAAAAAAAGAATTATTTTCCAGAGCTTCCTCAGTCCAGGAGAAAACTTTGCCAGGGATGCCAGATGTTCAACCAGTTGAGAACGTGGGAGGTGGGGTTTCTGGCTTATTTATTACCTGGCATTTAGTCCGGCTCATTACCAAGCCTCACATCTTTTTTTCAAAATATTATTTCCCAAAAAATTAAGAAGAAATTTCCTTTATATTTGTTAATGTAATTAAGGAACACACTGCTTCCTTCCAAAGCCAGTGACCCAGGAGGCCAAATAATGCTTGGGAGCAGACAGAACTTAGAAGCCTCCGTCTGAGGAGCAGGAATATCCTTCCTGAATTAAAGTGGGAATAAGCAAGTTTCCTGAGCATTTTTGTCCCATTGTCCAAAATATTAAGTCTTTTTTTCAGACGTTAAAATTAGATCCAGGGTGGGGCGCCTGGGTGGCTCACTCCGTTAAGCATCCAACTCTTGACTGCAGCTCAGGTCATGATCTCAGGGTCCTGGGATCAAGCCCCACGTCAGGCTCTGCGCTCAGCACGAAATCTGCTTGTCCTTCTTCCTCTGCTCCTCCCCCGCTCTCTCTCTGTCTCTCTGTCTCAAATAAATAAATACAATCTTAAAAAAAAATTAGATCCAAGGGAAAACAAAGTTGTTTGCAGACCAGAGCCTAGGATAAGAGTAGCAGGCAACTGAATTTTAAATTCTTAAAAAGATTCTAACGAAGGTTTGTAGACAGAGATGTCCGTTGCCATATTATTGATTAACATATTCTACTGGAAACAACCTTAGAAGCTTCTCAAAAACTGGAAATTTGCTATATTTGGGGAGTTCAAGGCATTTCCTGCCTTTGACGAACTCTCTTGTCACGGAGGTCTGGGTACACAGGGTAGAGAAGACTCGGGTAACTTTCTGCCTCCGCATAGAGCAGAAGCTTGCGCTGTAAAGATGTCCCCGTGGCCACACGCAGTGGGGTTGACCAGGTTGATCTTTTGGCCACCCCCGCTCAAGGCTGAGCCCTAACATCCAGGTTTTATTGCGGAGCTATAACCTGTCCTCGGGGGTGCTTGCTGCTGCGCCCACCCGCCCCAAACCCACTGTCCCCCCAGAGGGCCCAGGAAGGGCTTTGGCACGAATGATGAAATAAAAGTAACCGTCAGTCTCCTGGTTTTCCGTGGGCAGAGGTGGGCAGCTTGTGGAAGGGATCTGTAAACTGAGCTGCAGGCCCATTCCAAGCTGCAAGGGAGGGCATGTTCGGGGACAGCGGCTGCAGCAACAATGGAAGCTGTCCCGCAGGGGCACCATCTTCCCCGCCCTTCCTGCCTGCCTTCCTGTTGTCTTAACAGCCTCGACTCTGGTTGCTGTGGCGCGGGGCTGGGGCCTCAGGAGCTACAGAATCAGGGGCTGAGCCTTTCTGGAGGAGGGTGAGTGTGAGGCGGGCACCAGATAGTGGGGTGCATGAGAACGGAGGTGAGATGAGCAGATGGAGACTGATGATGGGGGGAGGGTTTGGTGATCATTCTGGGGGTGTGGGGGTGCTCTTACCTGTCCCAAAGTGCCAGGTCATAGGCAGGCACTGTTGCAGGCTAAGTGGCCAGTGAGGGCTGGGGCCCTCAGGGAACCCCCCTCCCCCAGCAGGCCAGCGTCCCCGTCCTAGGAAGGAGCCCCTTCCCACACATGCCCCTGGCCATTGACCTTACTTTGTACATCAGAAGGCTCTGCACACCATTCAAGCCACTCTTGGCTTACAGAGGAGTCAAAAGAAAAAGAAAAAAAAGACGATGCAAGCGTATCACCTGTCAGCACACTGCTGGCTCACAAACAGTCCTTCAGCTCCGCGCTGGTGCTAAACCTCTCTGTTTCCGCGGGTGCGCTTTCTCTGACACAGCTTGGAACACAGACTTGGTCATTGTTAACTTTCCCTCAGGCCCACTGTAATCCGACATTCTAGAACAAGTTA